AAGAGCTTTTTTTCTAAAAAGCTACACAGAAACTCTTAAAATAGAACTTTTTAAAATAGTTCTTTAAAAGATTCAACCTCTGATTAAAATAATATATCAGTTAGATATAATATGAAAATTTTTATCAAATAGTACTGCCATTTACAGTAGCAGCTTTCCTTATTTCTATTATATACAAATGTTACGGGTTTCGGGTTCGAGTCGGTCTTGGGCAGGTAATTATTTATTCTGTTACACCATCCATGAATCTATCTATCTATGGGACACACCAAGAGAGTGGCCTTTCAATCTCACTAGGAACCAAGTGAAACCCAATATAAAAAGCCTAGTATGTATTTTTTTCAAAATTAAACATAACGTGTTAATAATTTCGCCATATTTATCAATTTTTACATTTCCTAGTCGTTTACAATCTTAAATCCGTTTCTGCATCTGGCCTGAAATATTTTCTTTTATTAGGTATTGTAACTAAACATTCATTAAGGTATTGTTGAAACACGGGAAATTTGATGAAATTCTACATCCGATGGCCGGAGCAGTGGAAAAGCAACGGGCCCGATCAAACAAGCACCAACGGAAGTGGTACTTAGGCTTACGAATGAGCAAACAGCCGGCCACTTCAGTTTGTTAGAGTAGCCCTGTTTGTATTGCACAATTGTGTAAACTATTTCATTTGCGTTCCTATCGCTTATTTACAATACTATCGAATGCTGGCTATGCTGTGTACCTTCATCAAATGTATTGAATATATGAAATAACAATATGATTACTAGGTACGAGCTTGTGAAATTTAATTTCTTTAAATTTTACAGAATGCTTATATTTGACGGTATGTTTGTTAAAGAATTTGGATTATGAATAAATTGTTCTGTAAACGGTATAATTAAAATACAATCGAGATTATTTAGAGGAAGGACGCTCTAATCAATCAAAAATAAAAACAAATCAGAAATTAATTTGTGGACGGAAAGACTTTACTTAACCAAACTGTGGAAGACAGTCGTTGCTATTAATTGCTGTTGCTATATCTATTAAACCCGATAGAAAATGTCAAATCCGAAAATCAATACGGAAAGAAGTCATCCTCTTCCACCTACGGATCTGAAGCTGTGAATTTCTCCTCGGATTCCTTATGCATGGATCAGAAGCACCTATGTGAAAACATTGCCTAGTATTAAAACAGTAGAACACGTACTTCTCGACCACAGTACATGTGCTGATTTAAAAGAAATCCTGGAGCTAGAAACAACAATGAAAGAAAATCTTCAAAAGGATGAAAAAAAATTTCGAGTTCTTAAAACTTGCGAAATTCTACAAAAGTGTGAGCTAATACTTCAATGACCCTTTGAAGTAGATACAAGATAAAAAAATAATAATTTAACTTTCAATTATCAGTCGATTAGATATTTGTTTGTCGTTTCGTTCACTATTTTTTTATCGATTCCTTAAGAAACGTTATGTGCCTATGGATAAAATATATTATTGTGATTCTTAGTCATCATTGTTGAATACGACAATGAACAATGCATATAGATATACAAAGTGAGAAAAAATATTTATAAGTATCATTCATTATCAATGCTTTGAAATCCTAGAATAAACAGGTAGTTGTGATATGAAGGTAGGGTTTTGGATCCACAGTAGTTATCTATGATGTGTATATAACTTACTAACGTACCTAACTGCTATTTACTCAATATCATTTCATCAAAATGAAGTAGATGCAGTATTGAGTGTTCAGTAATAATAAAAGTGAACTGATAACATAGGATATAATTCTGAGCACAGTATCGAGGTCCATGAAGTTCCCATAAGAGAGATAGAACCGACCATCCAAGATTAAAGGGAGCATTTGAAGTGGCCACAGCCCGGGGCAAGATCGAAATGAAAGATGGGAAAAGGGTGTTCTGGGGGCAGCCACTGATCCAACTTAGTTACTGCCAACCGTTCTCTCAAGTCCTAAGTGGTCTTCGCCGCTCCTTCTTAAATCTATCTATCGGTAGGGCTTTCCTTCCTTGTCTTTTGATCTTGTCCGATTCCATTTTCGTATTTCTCTTTTACTATCTTCTGGGTGGCTCCGAGATATTATTTTTATGTTCTTCAGAAAGATCATCGTGTTACTTGAACTACCATTGCTTATCAATGTTACAATAAAAGCGGATTGTTTATAAAAGTCATAAGAAACCTCACAAGAAAATAAAACTCGCCTTTGTAGGGTGATGCCTGAAGCTCGTCGAAGTGGTAAACAAACAGACTGGGATGATAATGAAAAAAAAAACACTACGGAAAGATAGGGTGACACCAAAGCCTCTTACCTAAGCGTTTTAACTTCATGATTTTAATGCGAAGGTGGTTGATTTTGGCTTTGCCTTCCACGATATCGCCAAATGTTGAAGATGTGACCTACGACCACTTGTAACTTCGCCTATTAAATGTCTAATCCGTGTCCGGAATGAGGATAGAATTATTTTAAGTTGGCGTTATAAACTAAATATCAATCTATATGATAGAAGACTACTATAGAAGACTAATCTTAAAAAAAAAAAAAAAAAGTCGTACTGAAACTTAGATTTCCTAAACCCAAAAGATTTTCTCATCCAACCTAAGAAAAACTGGCAGGAAAGTGGTAAATTTCCTTAGCACATATCCCTAGTTCTGCTATCTGCTCTGTTTGTGAATAACTTCCGTACCTTTCGTAATAGTACTTGGTGTAATTTAGAAATATTTTTTCGATGAAACCAAGTAAATCCTATGTTGACTCCATGCTCTCCTAATTTTCGATGCATAAACGTCGAATTAAAGTGTGTTAAGTAAAATCAGTTTTTGCCTTTTTCCACGCAACCAAATGTTTCGAAGAACTTTTTCAATTTCTGAATTGAAGAAAAATTGACAATTAATCGGATTATTTAATTTCATGGTTTTCGGAATTCAAATTCTTTTTTTTTTTTCATATTTATAGTATGTGTTTATCAGTTTTCGTGGTATTAGGAATGTTCACCAACGGAATCTTCTATTTCAGCTTATCTTTCTGGCAAAAAATAAATCTTTCTTAAAGCAATTAATTTTCGAGCAAACGTAAAAATTATTATCTCATACATCAGAAAAAAAAACAAGCGCAGTTCGACAAACGGCTGTCTGCTTATTGCAGGACAAATGATAATCTGATAATAATAAACGGATATTTTTCTTCATGGATTTGTGTTTATCACATTTTTGCAATCCACATCACCAGGAATGATAAGGTTGTGCAAAAAATCATAATGTATAATTTCTTTGTGTTCTCACCAGACTCACAACACCAAACATTTATTCTCGTTTTATAATATAATCGTAATATGTTCAATCTGCAATCACAATACAGCCCGAAACGCCCTTAAATTTTAATCTCCCAACGTCAACGTCCGAACAATATCCTATTGTTCTCACTTGATATCGAATTTACAGTATTAATTTCTTTTTTCGTACCGCAGTATTCATATCCTTCTTCACATCAAATTTTATGATGTTAAATTTTTAATAATAAAATAACACAATTGATCTTTAAATCCTACTTTATTTTTTCTACGATTATATTTATTTAATACAATTATATTTTTTAAAAAAAAAGTGATAGGCAAATTAGCCCAAATTGTTTTATATTTCATAATGATGTAGTGATGGTTGACCGTGATATAATATAAGAAGAAGTTGGTCGGAAGGTGCGGTCAAATAAACACTAAATTTTAAAAATTAGTATTTATAATTATTACGCCGACGTTTCGACCCACTTTGCAGGTCTTCATCAGGGCGTGGCATGTGGCACTGCAGGAGGCAGTTGATGGTTTTATTTTTCAGAAAAGGTTTTCCTCTTGAAAATCTTCTAAATGGCTTAAACATTTTGTGAAAGAAAATGTGTTGTTTTATTATTGCATATAAAACTCATTCCGATCTGTTTTCACCTTCGCAAGTTTCTTGGTAAAAGCATATTTATACATTCTATAAACAAGTATTTTTTTAAATATAATTAAGTAACAATCCGTTTTTGTCTTAGAATTTTCATTGCTTTTTTTTTTTAATTTCATATTTAATTTATAAGAAATATAAACTAAATAAAAATAATCATCTCTTAAGTAATCTCTTGTTCTGATTACTATGCTATAAGTTGCTTTACTGCTAAAAGCATTGTAAGCGGTATTTTAGACGTGTTTATTTTTGTGAGTCTCATGTATATCGGTGATGGTTCACACCTCTGACTTGTTGACGATGAATAAGACGATGATTTTATTAGAATATATCTATTGAAATATATGAGTATTTACGATATGATTTTTTTAAATTTCTTTCTGATTTAGCTGAAATGTAGATGGTTAATGCTTGCGATAACTCTCTCATGGTACTGATAGATAGAAAGTCATAATTATATAAAACAACCAATTTGTTCTAATCGACTGTGATTCCAAACTATCTCACTAAAACAAATAACCTGAACTGATGTCAACACCACAATTGCATCAATTAGTAGGTTGATGACACCTTGACGGGAAGACGACCGACGATAGAAATATCGTGTGTGTGCATAAACAGTCCCCTACTCAAGCCCACGCAGAAGAGAACACATCCGATAGATCAATCGTTGCCTTTTCAAAGACATGACTTGCGGTATTTCATTAAGCAACTATAAAAACGCGATGAAAACTCAGGCCATTATTATAGGTTCCAGTTCTATTCTTAAATCCATCTCCTTCCTTCCTCGTTTAGTCATCAACGATCATCCCATCACGTCCAGCTCCCCCGTTAAAAACCTAGGAATACCTAGGACCATAGAAAACCTAGGAATCCATAGGCGAAAACCTCTCCTGGAAAACCCATATCGCCCTCATCTCCCGAAAGTCAATAGGTACTCTTAAGTTATTTCATCGCTCCCGCCTCCTACTCCCACAATCTATTCGCAAGCTCCTTGTATCCTCTCTTATCTTCTCTCACTTTGACTACGGCTGTGTGGTGTACGGAGGCATCCCGATGGTACTCGAGGATAGATTGAAGCGACTCATGAATTCCTGTTTAAGATTTATCTCTTCCCTTCTTTCCCCAGACAATATTTCCTTGGATCTTTTCTATTCCAAACGATCAACAACCAACACCCTTCCTACATCTACAGTCTCCTACAGTTCAAACCTGTGGTCCACTCTCAGAAAACTGGATCCCGTGTTTCCGACATTATTAATTTACATTATTTTTGTTTTTTTCGTTCCGCTGTATTCATATCCTTCCTCGCATCAAATTTTGTAATGTTAAATTTCTAATAATAAAATAACACTATTGATCTTTAAATCCTACTTTATTTTTTCTACGATTATATTTATTTAATACAATTATATTTATGTAACGTTTCAGCCCTTTAGATTATTCTCAAGGAGGAATGTATACGATTATATTGAAAAAAAAAAAAAAAAAAGTGATAGACAAATTAGCCCAAATGGTATTATTTTTCAGAATAGGGTTTCTCCTTGAACCAGATTTTCCACTAGAACATTTGAATATTCCTTGATTGCCTCTTCCTTGTCCTCATTCAAATATCATCTCTACCAATTCCTTCTCACATCTCAAAATTACGTTGTAAAAATAAATGTGAATTGTGAATGAGGTGAATGGTTGTTGAAATTGTTATGATTTTTAATTTTAAAAATCAACCCATAGTGCTTATAATATTTTATTTTTTATTTTATCTAATTTATGTTTTTCTTTTCATTTAAATAATGTTTTTTTTTTTTTTTTTCAAAATGGTGTTACTTTTTTATTTATTATGATATACTTTGACTGAAGATACTGTATATATTCTTTAACTTTCATTAATGTAATTTTTGGCCAGATGTGGTTTTTATTTTTTGTTCGTAATTGTTATTCATAAGGGACCTCATCCCAGAATAAAGTTTATTTTCTATTCTATTCTATTATAAATTTCATTGCCCGATATTTTATCGTAGTTCATAAACAGAATTTTTATTTTCTAAAATTTATCTTATCCATAAATCCTTTCTTTGTCATATATAATTAATTATATACCAATATAAAAATGCATAAATTGTTAAATAAAACTACTCGTTGAAATTGTCTTTTACTTCATGCTACGTTATATTATACGAGTTATAGCGATAGGTGATTTTTTTTTAAATATTTATTTTATTTAGTTAAAGTTAAAGGGATAACGTGCTGATTATTTTTGAATTTTTCATCGTCTTATTCAACGTCCGTCATTATCGACTACTTACGCGCTGTTTGCGAATCATGGCTTAGTCCTATAAATTTTGTTTGAACAAGACTTGGCAGAATTATTCTTTGCAATTTTGTCCTTAAAAAATTCACTGAAAGGCTCTCAAGATGGATGAACAAGAAGTCCTTCAAAAGTAGTTTCACTGTAATCATAAGTATTTTATGTATATATAAGTATACGTTATCTAAGCAATCTTCGCTATTATCTAATAAAAACCAACGTTTTGCAAGTTGTTGCTTCTTGACATAACCTCACACAAACTTTCTATTCACTGAATAATAATGATAGAAGGAGTTTAGCCACAATGATTTATGTGCAGTTTTCCTACAGATTATATGTTTTCACTTTTGTCCAAATATGAGCTTTAACAGCTTAGAAAACGAACCACTTTAGTGATTAACTTTTCTATTATGCCCACCTATTGAAATTAATGGCTCAAATAAGCGCCATCTTTGACTAAACAAAATATTTCTTTAATATCGTAAATTGATGGCCTCGTAATTTTATAGTTTAAGGCTTCACTATCGGGGGACCACGACGTCGGCTATAACGCACATAGTAGGCAATATTATTGCATTGCGTCTTGAAGACCGTCCTTTTGCGGTCCGCCTTGCATCACAGTAATCGCTGTGTCACGACCCTCAAGTGCGCTGGTCTCAAACTAGCAGCGTTCTATCTGCGAGTGATGCTAAATTAATATTCAAATTGGCTCAAGCAGTCGTGAGGGTTCGAGATTATATTTTGATCAACGGTTGTGTATATGTATATGACTTTTATGCATTCCTGAATTCCTTTATGGGATTGAAAGAAAGGAGGTCCTATTACGTTCAATGAATCCTCCTGCATTACAAGAGGTTATTCAGAAGATATTTCTCAGGTTTAGGGTCCAGCTGGCCTTGGTACCTTTTCAAATATGTTTGGGTTTTATATTAGTTTTGATATCATAATTACCTTTATATTAAATCTAGTAGAAACAACAAAATTTATAATTCATTTACAAAATGTATTGTTATTTTGTATATTACTTTCCAATGATGTCGATACTCTATATTTTTCATAATATATCGTCAAAAACAATTATTTAGATTTTGAAGATTCAGTAAACCTCTATTGGTAAAAAATAAGTGTAAGCCAACCAAAGAAAAAAAAAAAAGAGAGAGAGAAGAAAAGAAAAGGTTATGACGAACGGAAAACTTTGTTTGCACATGATTATACAATAATTATATTATAATTCACATTATTACTTTAGAAAAAAAAATCTTAATTAGATCATTATTGGCAGATATTCAGACTATTCGACTTTGTATACCAGTTTTGGTTTCTTATTTTCAATAATGAACTACTAAATCCCAAATATGAACTAACCAAGGAAAGAATTCCTGAAAATTCACTCGCATTTACTTATTTTCATATTATTTTACCATTTTATGATCAATAAACTATGATCATTTTTCGAATGGGCCTACTTGTGTGAGGTACTTTAGTCTTGACACTCTTCTGTTTAAACGTAGATTATATAAGTGATTTAAGATTAAAATGAAATTTGGAGTATCTATTTTTTATTTTATTAATTTCGAAAATCTCACCTATCGAGGTTTGATCAAGGATCCATTGTGAAAAATAAGAGTAGCTCTTAAGACGGACATAAATGATTGTGATTTGCGTTACACTTTTTTTTCTTAATTATTATTTATTTTGAATTTTAATTGGACTATGTTTTTATTATCGGTATGATTGTAACCTGTTTTACTTTTTTTTTTAATTTCTTATAAACTTCAGATTTTTATTCAAAAATTCATTTATCCACGTATATTAAAGAATTTGCAGGTGGGAGATAAATATTTAAGAAGTATAAATAAATTCGTAGGAATGGAAAATATCATTAGCGGGTTAAGATTATTAAGGTATTCGTATTATGAGAATTGGCACAGGTTGAGGAAGCACCATGCCGGAGATGAGAAGGCTTGCACAGGACAGGGATCTTTGGACAAGATGGTCAGAGACAGCTACTCCACGCTTAGCAGCACACAGGAGATAGTGGGAGAAGAAAATGAAATTACCTAATATATACAAGTAATAGTGAAAAACACTATAGAATCGAAAAATTGAACAAGCATTTTCAATTTTTTGACTTCTAAGGTTAACTGTACATGATATTTTATTCATTTTAATTTCTAACTCACTAATTTATTTATGTCAATCTTAAAAAAAAAATCGAACCTTTCACGTTCAACTGTTCACAATGATGTATTAATTTGACCAGCAAGAATGAAATATGTGCTATTTTGTATTATACCTATATACTGCAGAACTAGTTCTTTTCCTGCGACCGTGCACAATGGAAGAAAGAAGATAGAAAATCGAAAGAGATCTATGAAAAAGTATGTAAAATAAAGTGGGTATAAAGAAATAAAAATTAATATAAAAACCGTATTCCATACCTGTTTTTGAAATTATCAAGCCAATCTTTACTGTCATTAAGGTAAGCTTTGTCATATTTTTTAAATAAAAAAAAAATATTAAAGAAATGGACACTTGAGATCTCAGCTGCGAAAACTTCATATAGATTCCTCAACTTCTGGATGGCCGTCTAGTTTTAATGTTTTTTCGTTGATAACATCACTGAGCCACCAAAATAGGATTTCGACACTTCAAAACGATGCAATCCCATTAATGTAAACTGCCATATTCATTCTCTCACTCGTCAGTTTATTTTAACTTTTTTTCGTTCTCGATTACTAGGGAGTTCGGATTAGCGAGACCATCCTGTACTATTTTATAACGAATCGAACACTTCATATTTACGAGGCAGTATTTGTACCAAACACATTACCTGAGAGTACGAGTATCTCCTTCACAACTAGAGATCGCTTCTTGATAGGCATTCGAGATCCGTGATTGACGCTGGAGCGTGGAGCCTTTGATGCCTCCATGAGGGACTAAGTAATGTATTGTCCGTTAATTACTATTCAACAGGGGGCTGTTGGTGGGGATCGATCCGGCTGAGGTAACCACGAGGAGCAAACATTGACACTGCCGCTGTTGGGAGAGCAAACAGGAAAACATTTGGATACCTCCGGATAGCACCGCGCAGTATTAGCCCAACTGTCAGGTTCTCTTATCAGCAGCCTATGTAGCCCTTTAAATCCTTATTGTTCTTTTTATCTCGTCGGGGTTTATCTGAGGGTCTGGGAGTGCTGGCTGCCCAAGGAACTCGTGTTTTGAGAAACTTATTTTCCTATTCTTATTCATAAATTTCAGTTTTCAACATTCCAAAATATATTTTATGAACAGCGCAATACAGTTACTGTTAGTAATAAAAGAAGCGATGTAGATCGGTACCACCTACGGCGGAGAAAGCTGGACAATGCTGGACAGGCACTCTAGTCGCATAACGGCAGCAGAAATGAGGTTCCTTCGCAGATCTGTTGGCAGAACTAGAAGGGATCGCATTAGGAATGAAAGCATTAGAGAGCAGCTAGGAGTTTAAACTACTTTAGAAAGACGGCAACTCCAGTGGTTTGGACACGTCTGCCGCATGAATAAGAATTTGAATCCTATAAGGATATTAGAGGCTCGACCCACAGGAAGGAGACCACGCGGACGCCCCAGAATCACATTCCAGGAGTATATACAAAGAATTGGAAGTAAAAGAGGCAAAACCCTTGATGAGATGAAGCGGCTAAGCAGGGACCGGGAACAGTGGTTACGCTGGGTTGAGGTTCCTCGACGCTAACTAAATGGCATAAAAGGAAGACAAAGAAGAAGAAGAAGAGGTAGATTAGTGATTAAGCCATTAACGCCCAATGATCAAATTTCCGGGTTCGAATCCGGCTGTGGCAGGTAATTATTTATTCTGTTATTTATTCTGCCTCTATAAAATGAGTTAGTTAAATAATTAAATAACGAGGAAAATTGACGGTTGAACGTGATCTAGACCCGATCTTCTCTCTGAGTCACTAGCGGATCCAGGATTCAATTTTGGGGGGGGGGGGCTTCAGCCCGAAAGCTTTTTTTTTCATAAAAATAGCGATAATTACCTTGGAAAAAAAGAAAGAAACTAGCTATCTATATGAAATGGTGTTTAAGTGATTCCTTAAGTCCTTTTAAATGTAATTACACCAATATTAATACTTTAAGAGATAATTTTTTAATATATTTTCCCATAAAACATAGTTATATTTTACCATTTTGGGGAGGGCTTCAGCCCGAAAACTCCCCCCTCCCCCCCGTGCTCTGAGCAATCGTAATAATCTGTTTTTTTTTCTCTGTGTGCATAGATTCAGCGGATTGATTTCCAAGAAGTTGAAAGAAGTAGTAGAACGCGTTGAGATAAAAACGTGCAACACGGAGAGCAAGCATTGGTAATACAAAATTTTCGAATGGAA